AATGGTTTCTTTCAATTAGGTAATTTTGAAATCCTTTTAAATACATATAACACGTCATCCCTAGAAGCGTCAACTCCCTCCAACTAGCTGCTTAACACTTCTTTCTTTGGATTTCTTTTGCCTACTGGCGACAGCTTGCAAGACAATTACGAGTACGAAAATCACATCAAACTCCACCATCCATTTCATTAACTTTCTCCACTAAATCCCAGAGTATTTTCATGCCTGCATTTATGTCCGCCTATTTCGCTTTTTCCTGCCTCACCTTCCTTTCCGCTTTAAAAGTATGCTAATTAAGTGCTAACAAAGTGAGTATGTATTAGCTCTTATGATTGTCAATATTTGACAGTAAGCTGGCAAAATACCAAAATCACAAAACTAGTTAATTAACGAAGCCCCCACAATTTAAACCATAGCAACAGCAACAACAACCACAAACTACGTCACTCTCAAGCATTATTAATAGTTAGTACACCGTAGGCGTGCTTTAATGTTTTGGCTTCCCGCTTTGTTCTGAGATGTTGATTGTTCATTCTGGTTAATGCGTAACAGGGAATGTGAGGAAACCATATGTAGCTAAGGCGAAAGTGAAAGGCGAAATTGAAAGACAAAAGCATAAAAGCGCAAAAACAAAAAGCATTAACCGCAACGACATTGTCAGCACTTTTGGTGGTACAGTGAGGCGATTCATAATGCCTGACACCAGGACACAATCTCTGGCAGACACTTGGCGCTTCATTAAGGCTACATTGGCTGAAATTATTTTAATTTTAATTAATAGGTAATCAACAAATAATAGCGAGACAATTTGGGGCGGGAGGAGAGCAGCACAAAATTACTAAAGTGCTCATTAATTATTTTATGTATATCAGCCATGATTAAATAACACAATATTTGTATGTGCATGTGAGACAAAATCTGCCTTAAATATAATTACACTCTAAAGCAGAAAACCTAAAGCAGTCGAAATTCAAACAAAAATTCACGAATTTACGAGTATCATTGCACTGTTCTTCATATTTCTCCATACCCAAATCATAGAAAATCAAATCAGTAATCAAATAGCCACTCCAATCCGACCGGAAAAGACATCTGCTCTTACTTTTAACGGTAAAGAGGCAATGTAAACGAAAAACCTTCTGACTCAAAGCGAATGAAAGGAAGTCCAATTTCAGTTATGGGCAATGAGAGTTCATTGAAAAATATGAAAAAAATATGATACTGTTGAAGTTTCTATTGCTTTAACATGGCCGAAGCTTGAGTGCTGTGACTACCTGGAGCGTGGTTGCTGACAAATTGACAAGATAATGGGCTGGAGTATAGGAAAAAGTGAAGAAAAGTGAACGCCATTGCAAGCACCAAAAGGAAATGTCATACAGAATCTACAAAAACAGGGAAAATAAACAAAGTATAAATAGATAAAAAGAATCAGAATAAAAAATAAATAAACAAAGTGTGGGCATATGGAAAGAATCAATATATTTTTATGCACCTTAACTGTATGAAGAAAATTTTTTGTTTAGCTACAAAGCTGGAGAAATGTTCCTTTGGTCATAAAAACGGTACCTGTGAAAAATTTTGAAAATAGTACTACGGAAAGACGTGCCACAAAGGTCTTAAAGTCAGCATTTTCATGCAATTTTACACAAAGTGAACAAAATTGCCTATAAGTCAGTGGATATTTTAATAGTCAAATGTCATAAATGGCAACAATATTTTTAAACCTCCCCAACTTTTAAAGTTATTAAGTTTTTTTCCATGTAAAATTAAAATTTTCTAAGATTTCAAAAGTTAAATTTTAGCCCAGTAAATTTAGATCAAATTGGTACGAAGAAAAAAATGTGTAGTAGCGAACTTTTGCTGCAGTTCACTTCTATTTGACACGTAGATCATGGATCCACAGTCTTGCGCCTAAATTTCATAGGGGACATTCCGCCATCTTGGATTTTAGGTTTTTTGTTTTTTTTTTTTTTGGGGATTTTCAATCAAATTTTATAGAGAACTTAATTGCCCACATTTTTTATATACAAGCTTTAAAAAATCGTTGTTTATTTTAAAAAATCAGCAAAAATCGCGCCAAAGTTTTACATTGTCACTGTTTTTCCCATTTTTCAACAATTCCTGTAGAAAATGTGTACCGTATTCAAATGCCGAAGTTGTAGAAAATTTAATTCTCCATAACTTTTCTACGAACACTATTTTTATGCGACGCTTAGATCACGACCGGGAACGTTCCCTTGGAAAGAGCGGAAGCAGTAATTTCACTGATATCTTGCTCCACATCGCTATCGTTATGGATATGTTTTTTTTTTTGTTTTTGATATATTCATTAAAGTAGTTATTGTTTGACTTGACAATGTTGATTTTTTGTCCGTTGCCAACATTATTATGTAGAGCTATAACCGCCAAAAAAACGTGAGCGACATTTTTTATTTTATTATTATTATTTTTTATCTAGTTACCCAGGAACATTTCTGTCTCAAAAAAAAATATTAAAAAAAAAATTTCGCCCACGTTTTTTTGGAGATTATTCTTTATTTTTATTAACCCTTTTCAATTCCGCTAATGGTAATCCTGGCCAAAAATGTCTATCATTAACCACAATGGTACCATGTATGAAGAAATTTAAGCTTGACAGCCTAAAATAAGCTGGGATTAAAAGAAAGAACACTGCTTTTACAAAAGGAGAAAACTTCTGAGCGTCGCATATTTAAGAATAGTTGAAATTACTCTGGACACCAAAATAATAGGAAAGAAAGCGGTGAAAATATATAGATAAGATAGACGTCACGGAAGTATGTTAAAGAGCTGAATATCCAGATAATGTTGGTATGGTATTCAAGTATCACGTAACCACCGATGGGGGCGGGGACCTTCGATTTGCTTGTTTTTGATGAGAAAGGGGTGAGACCTGCTTGTTGATTACTCCAACAATATTTATGTACTTTTGTGATGATAAAAAACTTTGTAGATTTTAGTTTGAACAAATATCGAATGTACCTTACATTTTTAGGCTATAAATTCCCGATTTCTAGCCTTGATAACTACTCAGTGTGAATAACAGTAAAGCCACATCAACATAATACAAAACTACCAGTCACTATGTAAGCATGACAGGGCGGAGGCAGAGGGTTAAGAATGAGTAAAACTCTGCTTACGTATTACTTGAATGGCTCCTATTCAAAAAATTAAAATTGCGGACCTCTTGCAAAGATAGAGATGTATCTAGCTCCCTTATTGGCCCACCAGGCATTCTGGCAGAGCATTCAAAGCTTAACTATCATCCGACACTCACCTGAAAATTCACTTGCGCAATTATAAAATTTTTCATGAGAACACAGCTTTATTAAAACTCGAATTAAGCCGTGCCCTTAAATATTCGCACATATACAATTTTCCAAAGGGGATAGGATTCACGTTTTTATATTTTCTAACCACATTTTTGTTTGCATTTTTTTGGCCTTTTGGCAAGAATATAACACGAAGAAGTTTTACATTTCAACTCTCTAGCTCATCTTGTACGTAGTATTTTTATAAATCTATGTTAGAAATTTTAGGCAGAATGTCGACATTTTGAAGATCTTCTTCCACGCATCATTACCGTTAAATGCAGATCCTGCGAAGCAGAAAAAGTGTTTAAAAAAGCTAAATAGACCTCCTGGGATTGAATGTCTCCCAGTCATTACTGAGCGAAGTATTCACCAAGTTTCTGATGGTGGTTTCGATGGCCCAAGGTGGGAGTGCTCTAACTGGCTACTGACCGAGGCATGCCTTGTCTGAGCGAACTTCGGTCGAATGGTCCTGTATGAGTTACTTTGCTGTTTTCTATAATTTTTTTTTCTGTTATAGTGTTTTCGGCTTAGTATGGTCCATTCCGTATGTATATAACTTTTATAATAATAGCGATTCCTAATAAATTAACTTGATTGCTACCAATAAATTTTAAATGATAATCTAACCATAATTCTAATTTACTAAACGAAAAAATATTTATAATTGAACTTCTCGAAAAGATCTGCCTGTAGGATTTTAATTGCAGTCTTTTTATGATCTAGACACTTAAAATATTCAAGAGGTTCAAGAATATTTCATTTATTTTCGGTTCAAGAGCACCGTGCAAATTAAATAAAAGCTTGTAAAAACAGGCAAATTACTACTTCCGCCTTATAAGGTTGGCCCATAAAACCCACGAATATTTTTCATTGTGACACCCATTGAAGAGCTGTCAACGCGGTTTAGGAGCGCTTGTGTCCTGGGTATGTGGCTGCTTTCCAGCCAACTTTACCACCAACTGAGTATATTTTTACATATAAATATGTATGTATAGAGCTGGTACCTGTCATTGTTATATGTATATGCATACATAGTTGAAAGGCAAATAACACACCGTGGCTTATGTAAAATCCAAAATAAATGTGTGCGCATCCATGAGTTAGCAAAACCAATGCAAAAAATAAAAGGAAAAGAAATTCCCTCAAAAATGTCATATTAGAAATGTGTATGTGTTGGCGTTTATCACTTTGCAGCGTGAAGCAGCATTACACAGCAACAAAAACCACAGCAACCAATCAACGCACAAGTCAACTGGAAAAACGCGGCCTAGACACCCAACCCTCTTTAATGTAGAAAAGATTCGCGACATTTTTTACACCTGAGTAATTTCTTTGCTGACTTCACAGCATTTTTTAAGCGCATTTACTGCAAAAAGAAAGCTGCCACTTTTTTTGTTTCCTTGTGTTTCCCTTTTCCTTTACCTGCACTTAACCGCAAATAAATAAAATGTGTCAACACGTTTCAGGCAGACCAGCAGCTGCATGGTGACTTGGAAGCGAGCTGTAATGATCTATGACTACTCACTTTTAATTTTAATTCTTACTTAGATTTAAATTTTTCATTTTGGGCTTACTTTTCGCAACGATTTTAATGTCAGATTATTTTTTATGTAAAATTGGCTGTAATTTTATTACAAAACCTTTCTCTTTTTTTGCTTCTGCTTACAGAGGTAATGCACGCTCATTGTGGATGGGCATTATGTGGGCACTGACATCTGGCACAGGTGTGGCTGTGGCTTTGCTGCAAGGCTCAGCTGGACCGCTGATTGGTGTTGCGATTTCCGCCTCGCTTCTGCCACCTATGGTGAATTGTGTAAGTATTCGACACGATTTTAATTTACAATGCAAGCGAAATGTTCGTAAGGTACAAAAAGGAAATAAAGAATAGAAAATTGCACATGCAAACAAGCTACATATTTTTGAATTAGAAAACGATTTACTAAACTGTTTTGCCGTTTTTTTTTAAATTACTAATTCATTTAAAACCCACTGAGACTCATCTTCTGCCATAGGGTAGCGCAAATGTACCTTTTCTCTAGGCATATAGTATACATACATATGTATGTATGTACATATGTAGCTTTAAACCACACACATGTTCGTTGCCATAAAAACTCCCAGTTTTTTTTTCTCCCGTCTTCTATTCATTTCGCTTGGATGCGCCGAAATAATGTGAAAATAATGCGGTAGCGATGAGTTATGTCTGGCAACCACTAAAACATAAATTTCAGTGGCCAACTGCATTTTTTGCTCACCATACACCCACGAGAAAGAACGCGATACGAAAAGTGAAAGAACAAACATTGCCTAAAAAAAATGGAGAAGCGTAAGGTATATTGGTGTTGTTAGTGCATATGCAGCGGCTTGTTTTCTTTTCGAAAGTATTAGAGCAGACCATATAAGGATCTGAAATAAAAGTAGCTTTAAATATACATATGTACATTAGGGTGGTAAAACAAAGTAAAGTCGGAATTTTAATGCTCCCGCCCTCTATTTTTTATTTTGAAATCAAAAAATATTTAGAGCGCTCAAAGTTGTTCATGTATTTTATATGGGGGAAAACCCACTTCTCGTAGAAATGGTATAGAATTCTTGCATTTTCTGACAAATTTTCCGTTTTTTTGTGGTTTTCGGTGGACCTATAAAATATAGTTACTATGAAAAAATTTTTAAATAAACAATTGGGTATTATTATTGGGAATCTCCTGAAGAGAAACAGAGTATTCCGATTGAAAAATATTGATTTGCAAGTATTCTATACTATTTCTAATAAAAGTTGTTTTTTTTTTTCATATACAATACATTGGGCGCTTTGAGCGAATAAGGGTGCGTTCACACAGAAAGCCAAACCGAGCCAAGTGAAAGCGTTCCGAGGGGAGTGAAGCTTTCAAATTGCAGTTGCTATATGAAAGTGTTCATACAGCAAGCTTTTTCAGAAGCGTTTTGGAGCTGAAAGCAAAGCAGTTTTTGCTTTTGAATTTTTCATTTAATTGCTTAGCTTCATGACGCTGCGGCAAGCAAGATATCAAAATAATTAAATAAAAACGAATTTTTCAACTAATCTTTTGAATAAAATTGATCAATTATATTTGCCGCTTTTAATTTACGGTAAGTTTTGTGTTATCTTTGCCACTGAGTCTATGAGAAAAGCTGCGCTCTGCCTCGTTCAGCGTGAACACCTACAGGTTCGTCTCGCTCCGCCTTTAGGCGCTCGGCACAGTTCGGCTTTCTGTGTGAACGCATCCTAAGAGTTTTGGGAGAGAGTAACCACACAAACATACTCTTCTTTGAAAGCCTGTTTCAGAACATATGTATGCATCTAATTCCGCATCAAAAGTCACTGTATCTGCTTCGAAATTCAAGCCTAACCATTACCCCTTAAGAAATATTATATCTTTTCACTTTGTAGTTGAAAATATTGGGTACATTGGGTAGCGCTTGCATTTTTAAATTCTCCGGTGTCAGATGGTAAATAATATTTCGCGTTGCCAACTAGAAGCCCATTACGCTGCTAGTGGTTTTCGCGGTTAGAAGATATTTCGCCTTTATTGTTTGCAGCTCCAACAAAAGAGACCAAAAAAAACTTAACAAGCGCCGACATGAGTTGACGACAGACAAAGAGTGAGAAAGGGGACTTACTTCCGACAAAAACTATAATAGCGTACCACAAGTGAAATGGCAAACAAATGAACAAAAGCATATTGTCTATTTGGTAAACAAATAAACTCACACAAGCGCTCCGTCTTACGTACATACTTGTACATATGTTTGTATACATATTTAGTTAGGAGGAACCAAGCTAAATTGTAAATAGGTTTGTGCAAACAAGTGCGCCTTTTACAAATATTTATGTGGCACATACGAGTATTTGCGACCCTGGGCCACTATTATTTGACCAGGGGGGGGCAGAAAGTAATTTGGCAATTTATTACACTAAATATGAGCAGAAAATCCTAGGCAGACAGACAGACATTACTATTGTGGAAGCAAAGATATTTGGGGACAATAGCAGTCTATTGAAACAGCCGCAGAAAACGAAGCTGAAACCAAAACCGAAACCAAAACCTAAAGCAGAAGCAAAAGCAAAAACTGAAAGCACAAATAAATAGGCCACCAAACAGGCAAGTAAATAGTGAAACTAAAATTTTTAAGAGGACATGCATACACAGCCAGCTCCTTCTCGAACCACAAATGTTCGCGCGCCGACGTACGATTAATTGTCGCAAAGACCTTAGATGCGCTGCTGGGCTGAGTTGCTTTGGCAAGTTTGAGTCTGCGGCTATAGCGACACTTGTGTAGGTACTTACATACATACCGACAAATATATTAAATTATACATAGCTATATATAGATACGAGTAAAATAATAGCAGTAAAATTCACAATGATGCTGCTGGTAACCTATGTTTATTTATTTATAGTTAACAATTTTTATTTATCTATTTATCGATCTGTATCAAAAACCGCATAAATAAAATTTTCAAAGCATGCGCAAAGTTCACAAAAATTAATTAACCTTCATCAAAATTTCGAATTTTTCAACTAGATTTCTTAGAAAGATTTTAGTGTAATAAAGTGCAAGTTTCAAGTCGCTAAAAATTACCGTTGATTTTTTATAATCTTTTTTTTTTTTGTCGAGGGTGTGCGAACTTTCTGCCAAATAAAAATAAGTTTGCTTCATTGACCATGATTATACCATAAAATGCTTCGGAGCTATAGAATTTTTAAGAAAAACAATCAAAGTTTTTGTGTATGGTGAACGGGAAATCTTTGCACGCCTTGGTCGAGCACTTAATATTAACCAGCACCAGCACCGCACATTATATTACCAGCACCATATAATTCTATATTTTAAACTTTGTACAAAAATTATATAAATTCAAGAAACTTTACCAAAAATTTAAAATTTTTTATTCAGAAGTGTAAGTTTCAAGACACTAGAAAATCGCGTTGATATTTATATTTTTTTTTTTTTGTTTACCTGACGTTGTTGTGCATGTTCTTCCATATCAGCCACAAAAAAAAAAAAAACATTATAAATAAAAGAAACTTTCGAGCATACTTTATATGGAAGAAAACGCACAATACCGACAGCTAAAATATTTATTAAAAATCAACGCGATTTACCTACATAAAATTAATATGCTATATAACTGCATTCCTAAAATTTTTATAGTTGGACGAATTTTTAATCAGAATTTTTTTTAGACATTTTCTTCACAAAAAAAAAAAATATGAAAAAACCTTGTACGAAAAAATGCGAAACACCTTAAAAAAAGTTTGCATGAACATTCATTGAAATTTTCCGAGTTAGCGGAAGAAAATAAAATAAAATTTGCTGCATACTTTGTGAAAAATTCTCTGTGCCAATTCGTTTTACCGTGAGTGTATGTATGTTTGTAAGCGCACAGAAGGCTGTACGCTCGTGTCCATTTGATTTATTTAAGTCATATCCTAAAGCTCGCGTGTGCAAACATATTTTATAAAGCTACATAAATATTTGAATGCTTGTACTTACTATAAAGCAAATACGCCGGTCCACAAAACACACACACACACACACACACCCCACCCAGGTGCTGTCTATGTACGTATATGCGCTCATTTTCACCACACACATCTACCGCACATTCAGTCATGATTAAGTGATTTTAGCACCAATGTAAAGCTTTGTAATATGCACTGATACCGCCGCACACGGCTACACATATCAACATTCGTACATGTAAATATATATATACGAGTATAAGTATGTGTTTATGTGACTGCATATTTGCAATGGCATTTTGCATACACTCCTTAGGTCATTAAATGCGTATTAGAGCAGACAAACAATTGCATGTAGATACGTTTGTGTGTATGGGTGTACAACTGACCTGCATATTCCATGCATACATATGTAGGCACAGTCCAAATTCCCTTTCTACTAAACGGAGATTTATTGGAAGTACTAGCATACGGGATGGCATGATATATTGGCTGGTGGTTGGAGAATACGCGTGCATTTAACAAGTTCTTATGTGCTAGTAAATCATTGAAACTCAGGGGAACAATTGCCAAAGAAAACTATACAAAATTTTTAATATACATTTTACGTTCGTTAGGGAAGTAATATTTATTTTGGTGTGAAGTGTGTTACATTGCAAAGTTGGTTATTTAAATACAAACAAGTAATTTTTAAGCAAAAAACAAAACCGACTTCAATTCTCATATAAAAAATTAATTAATCTAATGATCAAATCTAATCCAGATTAGTATGGGACCACCGCTGAGACACTACCTTTCCGATGCCAAAAGAATTATCGAAATCGGTTGACGTGGTCCAAAGTTATGCGGTAACATACATAAAAATAAAAAATAAATAAATATTCTGACGAATTGATAACCTCCTATTTTTTTAAAGTTGGTTTTTTGAAGTCGGTTAAAAAAACGAACTAAAAACATTTACTTGACCAAAAGAAATCTTATATTTAATTTTACCGTTGGTCTTTAAAACTGCCGCAAAGTCTCAGAAAATCGGAAAAATCCTTAAGCATCCAGAAAAAATCCCGAAAGTTGTCGAAAAAATACCAAAAGATTTCGAAAAATTCATAATATCTCTAAAACCTTTTTGAAAAATTACATACAAAATTTTGAGTACAATACAAAAAAAAAAATTGAAAAACGCGAGAACCAATTACAGTAGACCAACCTTATCTTATTGATTTTTTATGCGATTGCAAGTCTATTTACAACCAAATTAATATTTTTTAGTCGCCCCAATTCCTATTCTACACGCGCATCCATAAGTTTGCTCAAAATTTATGTATACACA